GCCTTCGTCGTCGTCGAGTCGAGTGCCGAAGCGATGAGTCGCTCGCATGACCAAGAAGCGGCGCAGCCCCGGGGTTGTGGAGTCCAAAAAAGTCCACCGGGCCATGCCTCGTCCTCGTCCCGAAAGTCGGAGTGGGTGCTCAGTCGAGAGCGAAGCGGCGCGGCGGCGTTCGAGGGGTGCTCGTGGCGACGCGAGTAAGCGTGGCGTCGAGGCCGCGGCATTTCTCAACCCAAAGGGGATGGGGACGGTCTGCCGTCTCCAGATTCTCGCCTCACGAATCGGCTCTTCGTGGAGTGGTGGAGCGGAGCTTGACGACCGGGCATCGCCCGCGCCACCCACGAGCAAGTTTCCTTTGTCCAAGCTCGGGCTAGACAGCGGGTCCCGCCGGGGACCACAATGCTTAACAATTGGTCGTAGGATATCGGCGGGGGTGGCGTGTTGCCCCGGATTCGCGTAGCGCGTCGGGGTGGCCTTGTTCGTGCCGTGCTTGGCGAGTGCGGCGAGAATGGCCGTCCGGGCGCCGCCCGCGCCTGGGCTGCGGGGGCGTAACTTCATCGTTGGTTGGTGGGGCTCGAGGAGGGAGGAGCACCAAGTCGTACTCATGCCCAAGAGACATGAACTCTAGGCTCCCGAACCAAACCACGGTGCCGAGACGCAATGGTCGTCGTGGTGCGCCATCCGAACATCTTTGGGATGACGAAACCGACACGCAGCGCGCCCCTACTGGGCGCGCCATTAATCGGTGTTTCGGACCAGGGGTCCTCAACCAACTAGTGAATTTGTTCTGCGTGCTCCCGATCCGGATGGTGATGCAAAGAGACACAAGCTTTATCTTTGGTTCGAGCAATCGAGGCCCTACTTCGATCGAGAGATCGATCTTGTATTCCTTGCACCGAGGTGCTCGTAGTAGGGGGTTATAAGCTAAAGGAGAGAAGGAGCTGGTCCTAGGTCTCGGCAGGGTGCCGTGTGGGCCGCTTTGAGACGTTGCTCTCCGGCGGCAGGAGTGTGCGTGTGTGTTACAATGTGTCCCCTCCTCCCTAAAACAACCCAGGTCCTCTCCTTTTATAGCATGAAGGGAGGACTTGGGCGGTACATGAGCTGATTATACGGCGTCGTGTGAACAGAGGCGGCGTGTCCGGGCCCTGTAGCCTATTCCTGTGGTGGCATGGCCGTCGGAGTGGTCCATCCTTGGAGTACTAGGGCGGCGTGGTCATCCCATCAGGTCCTGTGCGTCGTGGGAGCCCCGAGAATGCCTCGGAGTGGATGCGGCGGCGAGCGTGCAAAGCCACTTCGTGGACGGATCTGTGCGCGATGCGAGGGCTTGGTCGATCTGAAATGGGCGGCATCTGCGATGGGGGGTCTCGGCAGCACGAACCCCAAGATCGCCGAGGCCTCGGTGTACAGTGCCGAGCCCTTGAGCGGGCGGCCGATCATGGGTACAGCGTTTGGACACAGTGGTCGGTAATCCCCGTCGTACCCTTTCTCAGTCGGTATGGTGCTGGTCGTGGACATAGTGGTAGGACACAGTGGTAGGACACAGTGGCCTGTCCCGGCCGGTATGGCGCTGATGCGACCTCGGGTCGCATCGGCCATCCTATGGCGTTGAGCCACCGTCCGGCTGAGATTGCGGGAGTGGTTGAAGCATTAATGAGACATGACGAGTTGTTGGGAGGGTCGGCCGAGACGGGGGGCGACGGACCGTGGACGAGCCGGCCTCGAGCGACACGGAGAATGAGGCCTCGCGCGATACGGAGAATGAGGCCTCTGCCGAGGCCTTCCCTGGATAGCCTCGGGCGAGACGGAGACGGCATCCCCTGCCGAGGCTCGGCGCCCCCTGCCGAGGCCTACCCTAGGGAGCCTCGCGCGAGGCGGAGTTCGTTCCGAGACCTCCTGCTCGAGGCACGAGGCGAGGTGGAGGAGGGCTCGGTCGTGGCAGGTGAGGGGCCCACGGCTTACCTTCTAGCTTTGTTTTGATGTTTGCTTGGGGTACCCCGTTCTAAGGTACCCGACACTACTAAATATAATCCAGCTGACATGTGGGACCATGAGTTAGCCACAAAAAACAGCGCAAACGACGCATGGAAGAGGGAGCACGAGGCGGACTCTGCAGATCGAATAAAGATCAAATCCGGCGGCCAAAAAATTCGTATGATGGAGCCAAACGTTTCACATAGGCAAAGGATAGCTTTTGTGATGTTTTAGGGGCATCTAGCACCAAGGTGCTGCATGCCACCAAAACACTCAAATTGGGAAGCCAAACAAAATCAAATGTTTGTGATGCATGAAACACTCGATTGTCGTGATCGTAGGATCTAGATCAAATGAACCAAACAAAACTTATAAAAAAAATAAAAAATATTAAATAAACAAAACAAAAAATAGCTAAATTATATATTCTGGGGGAGCCAAATTGGAAGATATGGGCCTGTTCGGCTGGTACATAAGCCGGCTGGTTTCGGCTGATTCAATAGTGTTCTATGAGGGAGAATAAGCTCAAATATGCTGACTTAGCTGAAAAGTAGTTCAAGCCAACAGGCCCTTTAAAGGGGAGCCAAATAAAATATACAAAAATTAATAAAGGCTAAAAAAGGATCAGATAACTGCTTGAGTAACTATGATCATTCATATTTACGAACAATCAATTTACATCAATTGGATACAAAATTTACACTCAAATAGTAATAGTAAAATATGGTAAAATAACATATAATCGGTAACTAAATGAACAAATTTGAATACTGCACAGTGGCTGTTGCACATGTCTCCCCTCTGCGACGCTCGCCGTCGCATGCGCTGGCCGCAGGGCACCACGTGAGGTGAGCTTTGACGATGATGCGACCCAGCGCTCGTTGGCGGCAAAAGCCGATGGGCCACGCTCACGCACCATCTTCCACGCTCGCCTGCCCGCGGCCCCACGCTGTGCACAGCCGAACGGGTGCCTCTCTATCGAAACTAACGGAAGGTGCGAACGATCGGATCACGAGTAAGAAAAGATCGGACGTCAAACAAATCGTGTGAAGGAAGCCATAAAACACCCGAGAAAACTACGCCCGGTGTATTTGGCTTGATTGGCCTATAGTTACGAAAATACTGTTAATTGATTTGGTGTGAGAGAAAAATATTGTTCGTTGACTGATAAGTCATGGCTTATAAACCGAATACGACAAAAGCGAACAAGCTAATATATGACTAAGGTATTTGCTGCTACTTCATGATAGGTCGCACTATCACAGTATGCTTTATCTAATTTTAAACCACTCTTATCTCATCATTCTTGTGCAGGTTGCAGCAATATGACCACTCTGTTGCTGGCTGCAACAATCTGATCATTCTTGAATAATTTACAAGGATGGCCCATACTTATGGATAAGAAGGAAGAAAATTTATGCTGGCTTTGAATTTTGATAGGTCACCGTGGATAACCTAAGAATTATTTTAGGTTAACTATAACTGTATAGTTGAAAGTATTTTCTTTCATATTTGGCTACTAAAATAAGATGTTCAAAGATTATTCAAACAAGCTAGACAATTTGCTCCTCAGTCATGTGCTTTTGTATTATGAAAGAAAAGTAGTCATTCTAGTATGTGTATCATGAATTCATGATTCAAGTAGTCCAAAAAAAATTGGGGAAAGTTTTATGCTCATAGCAACATATGGTTTTGAACAAAATTTTATTGCATATCGTCATGCTTTATTGTATTGACTTGGCTTAATGTTGTGCTCCCGTTGCAACGCACGGGCACTCAACTAGTATACATATAATATGCACTTTCGTCATACTACTACTTCTTCTCAAAAAAAAAATTTAGTCATACTACATTTATTTCAGCTTTTTGCTGATTTCATGCTAAAACAAACAGCCTAGTTATTGAGTCCATTTTTAGAAAGATATAAAATTGACTTCTAAGGAAACAAAGTACTCCGTAAAAGATAAAAACTAAAAAATAAAAGCCAGAAAGACATTTTTTGAGTTAAAAGCCTAAAAATTGTAGATCAAATAAATAGGTCATATATCAGATTTCCCCTTTTTATTTTTTACGAGTGTTTTTTTTACGTCCTTCCATATCAAGAGGCAAAGTATCAGTCTTAAATTTTTGCTTTTAAACATTTGAGCACTCATTATTTTTGCCTCCTTCGTACCATTTAAAACTAAAATCACGTAACAAGAGACGATGGTGATAAAACCTGGTATTATCCACTGCGTGGATACCTCGGCGAGCATTGCCCTGTTCGCTTGATTAATAAATCATAGCTGAAAATACTATTGACTAATTTGTTTTTCATAAAAATATTATTTATTAATTGAAAAATACAATTTATAAGTCAAGAGAACAGGCACGTATCTATTTCGGCTCTCGTAACGAGTACGAATTGTACGTGTGCAAATATTTTTGGACAGTTTTTGCTCGTGGGCTAACACTGACATGGACAGTGCGATCCACAAACCTACTACTGGCTTAGCAAAATCTGACGGATCTATCATGCAGAAAGACCATTGGACAACAGCTGACGTTCTGTCTGTGCCGGTGGATAGGCGGCGTTTTTTTTTTTTTGAGCATGTGGATAGGCGGCGCTTGAGAATTTGTCTAGGGCTGCTGAGTTCCGTTCCGGGAAAGTTTGCCCATGGGCTTCGATCCCATACACATCCAACGGTGCAGGGGATGGGATCACGTGACCTTATAGTGGCAAAAAAGAAACCGTATTCGTGTTCCGTTCCAATTAGCTTCCTCAGTTTTGGTATTCTTCTGCCGTTCTGCGGTTGGCACTTACGTCCAGTCAGCTCAGCCGCCTATGGGGGAAAAACGAATCCAAAACATCAGTGTGTTTGGTTGCCAATTTGGCCAAGGAGTCGTGTCGTGTGCGTGGAATACTTCGGAGAGGTAACCTGTCAGTCTGGGCACATGCTAACTGCAGCATATATTTCGCCCGACTTGGTGCTCATTTTGCGTTGGTCACCAGCTCTCTGCCGTAGTTGCCGTTGGTGGTGAAAGGGAGCCAAATGGAGTCAGTCGCCGTGGTGACCGTGCCCTTCCCCTCGCAGGGCCACCTGAACCAGCTGCTGCACCTGTCGCTGCAGCTCGCGTCGCCGGGCGTGCCCGTGCACTACGCGGTGCCTGCGGCGCAGGTCCGCCAGGCCCGCGCGCGCGTGCACGGCTGGGACGACCGCGCGCTCCGCTCCGTCGAGTTCCACGACCTCGGCATCTCCGAGTACGTCTCCCCGCCGCCCGACCCGACCGCGCCGTCGCCGTTGCCCACGCACCTCATGCCCCTCTTCAAGGCCTACACCGCCGGCGCGCGCGCCCCGCTCGCGGCGCTCCTCGCCGGGCTCTCCGCCTCGCACCGCCGCGTCGTCGTGGTGCACGACCGCGTCAACGCGTACGCCGCCGAGAAGGCCGCGCGGCTGCCCAACGGCTAGGCGTTCGGGCTGCACTGCCTGGCCGCGTCGACGCTCGCCGGGCTCCGGCTCCTGCGTGACCGCGGCCTGGCGTTCCTCGACGTCGCCCACTTCGCGTCGAGGGAGTTCGCGGAGTACGTGGCCAAACGCGCGATGCCGACCAAGGAGATCTCGCCTGGCGCGGGCGTCCTCGTGAACTCATGTCGCGCGCTCGAAGGCGAGTTCATAGACGTCGTTGCAGGCGACCTGGCCGCAGACGGCAAGAAGTACTTCGCCGTTGGGCCCATAAACCCACTGCTCGACCTCCGCGCAAACGCCCAGAAGCAGAGCAAGCCGCGGCACGAGTGCCTGGACTGGCTGGACAAGCAGCCTCCGGCTTCGGTACTCTACGTGTCGTTCGACATCGTCGCTGCGGACGGAGCAGATCGCAGAGCTTGCAGCGGCACTGCGCGACAGCGACCAGCGGTTCATCTGGGTGCTGCGCGACGCAGACCGCGGCAACGAATCGGCGGACGACGACGAGAGCCAGAACAGACACGCGGAGCTGCTGTCCAAGTTCACCCATCAGACCGAATGGAGGGGCAGGTTGATCACCGGGTGGGCGCCGCAGCTGGAGATCCTGCCGCACGGCGCCACGGCGGCCTTCATGAGCCACTGCGGCTGGAACTCGACTATGGAGAGCCTGAGCAACGGGAAGCCGATCCTTGCCTGGCCCATGCACTCCGACCAAATGTGGGATGCGGAGCTGGTGTGCAAGTATCTCAACGCCGGCATCCTTGTGCGCCCCTGGGAGAAGCACGGCGAGGTGATTCCGGCGGAGGCCATCAGACAAGTAATCGAGGATGCCATGCTTTCTGACCAAGGACTGGCAGTGCGGCAGCGAGGGAAGGTGCTCGGAGAGGCCGTCCATGCCTGCCTGGATGTCGGCGGCTCATCGCGCAAAGACCTTGATGATTTCATTGCTCATATCACAAAGTAACCGTCTAGTCGAAGTTGAAATTTTATCGAATACTTTGAAATTTGTTCTCCAAGTTACTGTCATCACTTCGTTCTTCGTTGCCGGATGGGCAACAATCTGAAGCAAACAGGACAAGAGCAGAGCCTAGAGCTAGGCGACCAATAAACGTGTAATGGGTTTAGGGCATTGTTTAGTTGCCAAATTTTGGATGTGTAAAGTTGGCAAAATGTACTGTAGCATCACTGTAGCATTTTGTTTGTATTTGGTAATAATTGTCCAACCGTTGACTAATTAGGCTCAAAATGTTCGTCTCGCAAAGTACAACCAAACAGTGTAATTAGTTTTTAATTTCGTCTACTTTTAGTATTCCATGCATGTACCGCAAGTTTGATGTGACGGTGAATCTTCTTTTTGCATAATGCCAAAGTTAGGAGTTTGGGAGAAACTAAACAAGGCGTAGAATGGGTAAACATGCTTGTTAGCACTGATGGGGCAAGGCCCATGGCCCATGTAATAGAGAGGTTTAGATTAAACCTGAAGTCTGAAGAGATGAGAGAGAGAGAGAGAGAGGGAGAGAGAGAGAGAGGGTATCAATTGCATGAACACCAACTCTTTCCTCCAAGAGGGCCCTGTATCAATTGCATGACCTCCTTTTGGCTTTTAACTCTTCCACAAGAGAGATAAAGATAAAAGGTATATTTTATACTTGTTAACCAAAACAATTTTTCAACTCTTTCCTCCAAGCTAAGCGTAAACAAGGTCGCCTCCAAAAACCTAGCTAAACTCAAGCTCGCCTCCAAACCAGCTAAACTCAACTCGCTAAGAAAAAACACGCTATATAATTATCCAGTCCTTTGTTTTTCTGTGACACGAGGGCCTGTCTGCACACGATTTTTTTCTGTTCCTTTGTTTTCCAGTGAAATTGATCTAATTCTTATAAAATTTATATATAGATCTTGTGAAATTTCTACGTGATTTCTGTAAATTCTGTACAAATCTTGTGAAATTTGTGTTAAAAAAGGGCCTTGAATCTACTAGCAGGAAGTCCGTTCTGCAATTTGTTCCCATACGTGTTTGGAGAACATACAAGTAGCTAGGAGATGGTGCGCTGTTTCTGGCTCCCTAAGACACAGTTGGCAATTGGCGTAAGGTAGTGTGCGACCGCGAGACGGTCTGGAGTCCTCCAGATTCTATTATGAACCAGGCAAAGAGCTTGCGTCTTGGAGCCTTGGAGGCGCCCAAGTTTTTCAAAAGAAAAAAAAGTTTGAAATTAACCTTAATGGATCCAGTGAATTGGGCTATGTAAACTGATGCGACGGTGAATTCCCCGTGTGGTGTCTACTTGCAAGTAATCCGGTCCTCCATCCCAAATTACAAGTCAATCTAACTTTCTTTAAAAATCAAAATATCTTAAGTTTGATCAAATTTATATAATAAAATAATAATATTTATGATATCAAATAAATATAGTTAGATTCTTCATTAATTATATTTTCATAATATACGTATTTTTTGTAATTTTTTTTATAATTTTAGTTAAATTTGATATGTTTTGACTTAATTTGAAACGGAGGGAGTAGTTATGTTTAATGTCCTAGAGCTAAGGATGAAAACGGAACGGAAATATCCCAAACCGAACCGCATCGTTTTCTATATTTAATCCGATCGAATCTGCATTTTCTTGTCTGACTTTACCGTTTTCGCTTTCGCATTTCGTATGTTTCGTATTTCAAATATAAAAGTAGAAAACGGTTTAGACATTTTTCGACCGTTTTCTACTTTTCTATTTTTAATTTAAAATATTCTGAATTGAAAATTCGGTTTAAACCGAATTTGACCAACTGCATAGGTCATACAGCCCAATTACAGGTTGTTCACCACGCAGCTGCGTTCTTTCTACTGGTGGCCAGCTGCCCTCTCTTATAGGCGACGTTCAGCCTCATCTCTCTCCACCTCACGAGATGGTGCTAAATGTCAGGAAACCAGCAGCATCTACACGAAAGCCCACCTAGGCCATAGCCCATCAAGCTCATCGGTTTAACCCCCACCTGCAAAGTCAATCATTTGATAATTTTTGCATCAGCCGAATAAATCTTTGTTACTCAAAAGAAAAATCTGAATAAATCTTTAAAATAAAATACTACATCTATTTAAAAAGATTAATAAAATTATTCTGACTCAGTTCGAGTTCATGTTTCTATAATATGTACTTGTTAATTATTATATGCACTTGAACTTGATCATGTATGCACTTAGTCATGCACTTGGTCTACGGGTCGGTATTCCGTATTGAGTTTTCATATATTGACCGTGTTCGACATAAATCCATTCGAATTGGTTCGTTTTCGAAATTCTCAATAATTCGTAAGTTCGCGTTCGTTTTCGTGTCCGGTTTTACCGTTTTGGCTTTCGTTTTCATATTTCAAATGTAAAAGTAGAAAACAATTTAGGAGTTTTTCGACCGTTTCCGACCGTTTTCATCCTTACCTGGAGCCATGTGTTATTGTCTAGGGCATCTTTGACTATTCTATTTTTTTTCATTTGGACGTTTTGAACACGATAGGCGCAACATCTTCGAGTGTCTGGCCCTGCCACGACGCTGAATGCCTAAATATCACTCGCGACCCATCTCCTAGTGCTATTATATTGTTGATGCTACGAAAAACAATTTATCTGTTTCATTGTACAGCATACACGACAAGTGCCTACCCAAAGCTTTTTAGGAATTTCCACTCATACAAAAGCCGAGCATCTCCAAGAGTTTCTCTATCTAAACTCTTATAGTCAAAATTAAGGTTCGCCTGACAAACATCACTCTCCAACAGTTCCCCCTATGTAACCTCCTATATTTAGTGGTATCCTAAACGAAATAACATTTTCCTCCTTCAAATTTGAGATTTCATTAGCGTACCCTATATATGTTATTTGAGATAGGGAAACTGTTGGAGAAGATAAGTATTTAAAGAAGATTTTTTGTTAGAATGCACCCTATGATTTAGAGTTTTTCTTTTTCTTTGCGAAGAAGGTTCTAGAGAAATTAAGTTAGGAGAACTCTTGAAGATGCCAAGGTGCATGACTCTAGCGAACTTGTCTAGATCAATAAAACCAAGCCCCCCATATCACTTGATCTAGAGTACAAGTCCTTTGGCCAGTTGACCTTGATGGCCGGTCCAAAAGAAGCGTTTTCTATACTTGTCGGGAGAATCCAACTACTAAAAACAAAACCATGACAACAACATAGTACATCTATCACTAATTGATAAAGCTTGTTATACACGGCAGAAGCAACTTTTATTGGTTGTGAAATTCTTACATTTCAAATGGACCCACAAAATCTTTAAAACAATGAATTACATACTTTCGTCTAGACAAAAGTCCCTTCTTTATTCAGGGTCGTCACTGTCAGACGTCTCCTATTGGACTCTTGCCTGTTGCTGACGTTGACGATTGAACCTTTTTTTCGTTCGTATTTGTTTTATAAGTCATATTTATTTTATAAGTTATTTGTTTTATAAGTCATATTTGTTTTTGTAAGTGAATTATCAGCCAATTTAGAGTTTTTTCTTTCGCACCAAAAGAAGGTTCAGAGAATATTTTTTAGTCAGAACTTTGAAGATGCCAAAATGACTCTACCAAACAAACGGGCTGTTACTGTTCAGACATTTCCATGCTTGATGGACAGTTTGTCTTGCACGCAGCTGCACCTGTCAGCACTCGAGCGCTTTCAGGTAGGAGTAGTGGTGTACTAGTATTTGCTTGTTTGATATCGGGAATTCAAATTTGTTCAGTACAACCAGCTTTCTCGCTACCCCTTTTAATAATTGTATATAAACTAGAAATCACTCTCCTTTTGAATGAAGAAAATAAAACACAAACGGGAACAAACACTTGAGGCCCTGACGTTGAGATCCCACCCTTTTCAGTTCCAAAATTTTGTTTTATAAGATCTGCTTTAAATAAGATTTTTTTCACGTCAAATTATTAATAATATTTTTAACATAATTTATAAGCATTAAATGTAAGTAAAAACGAATAACTAATACTGCGGACATTTCCATGTAATGGACAGTTTGTCTTGCATCTTTGCACCTGTCAGCACTCGAAATTTCAGGTAGGAGTAATTAGATTTGCTTGTTTGATATCAGGAATTCAAATTTGTTCAGTACAACCAGCTTTCTACTACCCCTTTTAATATTTTATAAACTGGAAGAGAATAAAGAATGGCACAAAGTCGAGTCGTTTCCAATCCTGCCTTCTTAGATCACCTTATGATGTGAGCGATGAAGTTTTCGAGATCCTTGCGGGATGACCCGCCATCAGCCGCGGACGCACGGACGGCCTCGCCGATCGCCGTTGCCCGCTGCCGCACGGGCAACCCATCGTCAGAGACCATCAACCTCTCGATCACCGCCTGTATGGCTGCCGCCGGTATCACCTCGGCGTGCTTCTCGCATGGCCTCACCAGGAAGCCTGCCTTGAGGTACTTGCACACAAGCTCGGCGTCCCACGGTTGGTCGGAGTGCATGGGCCACGCCAGGATGGGCTTCCCGTGGCTCATGCTCTCCATGGTCGAGTTCCATCCGCAGTGGCTCAGGAACGCCGCCGTGGCGCCGTGCGCCAGTATCTCCAGCTGCGGCGCCCACCCGGTGATCACCAGCCCCGTCCCCTCGGTCTCCTTGGTGAACTCGGACAGGAACTTGGCGTGCCGGCTCTCTCCGGACTCGGAGTATATGTCGCCGCGGTCGGCGTCGCGCAGCACCCAGATGAAACGCTGGTTGCTGCCGCGCAGCGCCGCGGCAAGCTCCTGGATCTGCTCGCCGCGCAGAGAGGACATCGAGCCGAACGAAACGTAGAGTACGGACGCAGCCGGCTGCTTGTCGAGCCAACCGAGGCACTCGTGCCGCGTCTCGCCAAGCTCGTCCGCGCTCGGGCCGAGCATCGGGTTTAACGGGCCGATAGAGAAGACCTTCTTGCCGCCGGCGGCGGCCAGCTGCTGGGTGACAAAGTCGATGAACTCACCC